TACAACCTCTGAACATTTTAAAAAAAAATTGGGAGAGTGATCATGATCATGATCAATGATCAAAAGATTTATACAACACAATCAATTTTGTGAAATGAAAATTCTCCTTTTTCTTTTGAAAATTTCCAGAGAGAGATAGTATCATTGCCAATTCTTTCTAAATACTACCAAAATATTGCCAATTTTTTCTAAATTGTCACAAAGTATGTTGCACCGATTTGATTGAGTTGTATTCTTTTGTTAAAGAGAAAGAATAAAATGTTATATACAGTCAAACCCCCTAAGTGCACTCCCCTTAGGGAGGGTGTGCATTTTATTGGCTGCACATATTAGTGACTCATGCAACACTAATTAAAATTTTTAAATGAATCTATCTATTGTAATTTGTTCCATTGTATTTTATTTTTTTTTAATTTAATATATTTTTCAAGAGAATTAACTGATTTTGCTTGTTCATTGTATGGACAATTTGTTAACTATGGCAGAAATAGGTTGATAAGAATGTTAGTTAAAATGGTTTTTGAAAAAATCAATTTTGGTAAGCAATTTTGGATTTACAATATTCTTTGTATCAATAGACATAAAAAATCTATCCAGCCTTTTAATATTTAATTAAAGAGTCCAGATATAATTTTGGCAACTAATAAAATTAACTTCAGCATTTATGAAAAACTATTTCACCATTATTAAGAGAGCCAGCTTCAGCTAACAATGCTTACACTTGACTCAATTGGGTGACTTTTTGATGCAATTAATTGAGTCATATGAAAAACATATACACAGTGAATCTCGATTTAATGGATCTTGATTTAGCGGATACTAATTAAAAATCTCGGTTTTATGGATAAAGTTCAAAGAACGGTTTCATAATAAACCTTAATAAAAACCTTCTCGATATAGCGGATATCTCGGTTTAACGGATTTTTGGAAAATTTTCCCTAATTGCCCAAACTATCCGTTAAATCGAGATTCACTGTGTAAATAATTGAGTCAAAACACAATTACACAATTAAAAATTGAGATTTTGGGAATTAAGTCAAAGCCAAATTAATTTTGACATGTAATTTCTAAGGTTACACGATGAACAATGCATAAAATCACGTGAAAGTCACGGGCGTGCATTTAGGGATGTTTATATAGTTGGAATGAAAAAAGACCGTGCAGTGCAGGTATAAAGGGGTGCACTTATCTCTTAGGTCCCAAGCTTGGGAATGAGTGAAAGCGTGCATTTAGAGAGGTTGTGCATTTATGGGGGTTGACTGTATAAGCTAAAATTACAACATATTTATCCATTAAAAAATTTTGATATTTATTAAAATATATGTACATATTTTGATTTGCTGATCAAAAAGAATGTATTAATAAATAAATTTCAAGTTTTAAAATGTCCCAATAAAATAAATAGATAAATTGTTCTAATAAATTGTTCTAATATAAATGTAAACATAAATATATTTATATATAATCTATAATTTACAAATACATTTTTAATTGTTTTTTTTTCTTCCCTCATCTATAAATATAATAACTATATTATATTAATAAATATTGATTACCATCATTATTATCATCAACAACACTGTCATCACCATTATCATCAACGTTATCATAAATATTATTTTCAATAATAATATTATTATTATCATATTCAAAATAATCATCATATTCATCGTTTTCATCGTTGTTGTCTTGTAAAGTTTTTAATATTTCCAATTCCTTTTCCAATTTTTTAATTTTAATATTTCTCCAATTTTTACTAATGTTATTATTATTATTTCCACCACCATCATCATAATCATCATAATCATCATCCAATAGTCTAAAATTTAGAATTTCACCAATTCCCTCTTGCATCAAAGATCTCAACATCTTACCTTCACTTTGTGCCTTAATCAGCAATCTTTCCAATTCATCTGATTTCTTTAATGATTTATCTAATAATCTTGACTTATTAGTTAATTCAAGTTTCAAACTCGACATTTCTTTCTCTAACGTCGCCACTTCTTGGCTCGAATCCTTCAATCGTTGCTCTGTATCATCAGCTCTTTTATTAGCTATTACCAATGTTTTTTGTACTTTATCAAATATCATTTGTTGTTCTTTCAACACTTGTTTTAATTGATTTATTTGTAAATTTTGTAATTTAATTGTTCTTAAATTTTGTTGTTGCTGTTCATTATGTTGATCACGATCATGAACATGAACATTTGTATCTTTGTTTTTATGTGCTGATGATACAATGGAAAGAGCAGTTGAAGCAGATGTGTTTTCATATTTTTGTAGTTTTGCTTTATAATACGCTACTTCGTCTAATGCATCTATACGAGACTTTTCACTTTCTGAAATTTTTTGTGATGCTAATTGAGACTGAAGTTTTATATTCGTCTTTTTTTTTTTTTTTGCGAAAAAAAGATTAATCCGTTAATTCATTCACAATAATTCATAATTATATTAAAAAATAAAAAAATAAAACCAAACCTTGTAGTATTTTAATTGTTGTTTCATCTTTACAATAACATCGACTATTTTATATTTATCTGATCCAACTTCAAGATTATTCATTATTTCTTCAACATTTTGTAAATAATCACTATCACCATCATCAACAACATTAACTATCTTTTTTTCTCCGCTACCATTACCACACGAATTAAATTCTAATTCTTTAGTCGACTTCATAAGATTTTCTCTTTTTTTTGCATCAATTATGCTTTGCTTTTGTTTTTCTAATTCACGGAAAAATTCGTCATTTTCTAAAGTCCTTGATGTTGTTGGTAATGACGATGAAAGTTTGGATATTGTATTTTTTTGTTGTTGTCTATTGTAATTATATTGCTGACGAGATTGTTGGTATTGTTGTTGTTGTTGTTGATTTAGATTATTATAATAAATATTATTATCTGATATTGTCCTAGTGTGACTATTTTGATGTAAAGGTGATGGTGACGTAATAGGTGATGATGATATAGAAGGTGATCTTGGTGATTGATTAAATGATGATGTACTACTTCTTCGTAACTTTGAACGTGGTGGAATAGGCTCAGTATTTGCACTTAGTGAAGATGTTATCATATTATTATTAATATTGGTAATAGGAACAGCAGCAATGGCAATGGCAGAAGAAATGGCAGTAGTTGTTGTTGATTTCAGTAGATAATTATCATCATTTTGGATAGACGACGATAAAATTGTTTGCTGTTGTTGTTGAATATGGTGATTATGTATTGGAATTATCGGACTTTCAGGTATAAGGACTTGTTCAGTTTTACTTCCAACTATAATTCCAACATCAACATTATTAACGTTGTTATTATTCATACGAATGGGTATAAAAGTTGTTTTTTTATCTAATGGACGAGCACCACGTGGTCGTTGCTGAATATTGTTGTTGTTGACGGGGGAACCTTCTCGTAACTTTTCAAAACTACTTTTTTTCGACAACGTGCCACTGCCCTCAACACTGCTGTCATTTTTTTCCACCTGATGATTGTGTTGTTGATATAATTGAGAATCTTGTAATGGCAATGTTCGAGTTATATTATCATCATTGTTTAATACCGGATTTTGATCTTCTTCATTTTCATTGTTATCAATGCCATTACCAATACTATTATCACTGCCATTATCAATAATATTAAAATCATTATTTTCAATTATCACCGCATTTCTAATATTTCCTCTTAAACTTTTTGTGAGATTCGATTGGTTGTTTGGTATTTTGCCATCAAATGACACTTTACCAGGTGTATTCGAATATTCGACATATGTTTTATGTGGCTTATAATTATCGTGTTCCTTTATCTCTACAATGTTTGATTTTGTTGTTCCTGACAACTTTAAATTTGTTGGAAGTTTTGATTGTTGATTATTATTATTATCATAATTGGTGATGATATTATTAATATTATTATTTATTTTTAGACTTTCAAGGTTTGTTGAGTTAAGAATGTTTACGGGAGAATTATTATTTGTTGTTCGTTGATGAGAATTTGAATTAAAACTGTTTTTTCTTGCATGTGATTTTACAGGTGGTTGACGTTGAAATCTTTGTTGCTGTTGTTGAGCCTGTTGCTGTTGTTGAGCCTGTTGCTGTTGTTGAGCTTGTTGCTGTTGTTGAGCTTGTTGTTGTAATTGAGCTTGTCGTTGAGTCTCTTGTTGAATTTGCTGTAATTGAGCCTGTCGTTGAGCCTCTTGTTGAGCCTCTTTTTGAATTTGCTGTAGTTGAGCCTGTCGTTGAGCCTCTTGTTGAATTTGCTGTAGTTGAGCCTGTCGTTGAGCCTCTTGTTGAGCTTGTTGTAATCGAGCTTGCTGTTGAACCTCTTGTTGAGCCTCTTGTTGAATTTGCTGTAATCGAGCCTGTCGTTGTTGAGCCTCTTGTTGAGCCTTGTCTTCTTCATCGTCATCATCTATTTGCTCATCTTCGTCATCATATTGTTCATCTTTTTGCTCATCTTTTTGTTGAGAATCATCATCATCGTCATAATAACTACCGCTACTAATACTACTGCTACAACTGTTATTAATATTATGATCAATATTATATTCCACCACTTTTTGTTTACCTTTAACATCTTTATTAGTTGATGATAATTTGAGAATAGATTCTTGACTAGACAATAATATTGCTTCTTCTAATACAGGAGAAAGTTTTGTTTTTTTTGGATATGGTGAACTAGAAGAACCAGAGATGATTTCTTGTGATAATTGTTGATCTTGATTTTGTTGATGACCTTTATTATTAGTACCATTGCAATTACCATTATTTATTGGTATAGGTTGTGAAGATAAAGATATTGATGATGAAGATTTTGATGATGTTGTTGATAATGTAGAAGCTAGTGATGATGTTGATGATGATTTCATTATATTTGATGATGACATTTTTTGAGACTTTGTTGTAATAACAGAAGATGATGAAGAATCTGATGAATTATTTCGTCTACCTGAAGTATTATCTCCAGATGGAAATTTTATTTTTGCTATATTATATTTATAAAGTTAATTAATAAGGCTAACTACTAATAAATAAATAAATAAATAATCTAAAGATATATGTATAACAATATAATCTTACTTGTATCTAATATATGGACTATTCCTTCGTTATCTGGTCTGGGATCTTTTTTTGAATCCCCACCAAAAACTAAAATATTATTTTTAACTTTTGATACAGTTATACCATATCTAGGACATGGAGATGGACCCAGTTTAGGGAACTTGTACCATCTTTTATCTATAAAAAAAAATAACGAACAAATGAATGATTTATTGAGGTTAAAAAAAAAATTTTTTTTGAATTATTTACATATAATCAATTAGTCAACTAACTTGTTATTCTGAACGCAGCCAAATCTCCCAAAACCTCTCCTTCTTCTGATCTTCCACCAAAAATATAAATCACATCGTTCATTATAGTCGCTCCATGACCTTCGCGTGCTTGAGGAGTATATCCTGAACATTCTAGTTCATCCCATTGATTTGTCTTTACATCATAACACCAGATGTCATTATAACATTTAATTTCATCAGTTCCACCGAACCTAAAAATATAGCATTTAATTTATTAAACAAAACTAATTAAATAATTAACGAAATCATAATTAATTAATAATAGTAATCATTGGTTTACATGTAAATTTTCCCATTATATGGACATGAAACATGTTTCATTCTAGGAGATGGTGCATTTCTAGGAGGAATTAATGAATCCCAAAAAGATTGAGTGAAGTTAGGACCTTTATTAAAAAAATTTTTTTTAAAAAAACCCCAAAAATTCAAATTAATAATTGATAATTCAAATTTCAAAATTCAAAATTCAAAAAGAATAAACAAAAAATTTCATTTACTTGCACAACCCCCGAATCGAGAAGAAAATTTGAATTTACTTTTCTTTTTAGTTAGTAACTTCAATGCTTTCAAATCAAATGTTAAAAAATCATTCAAGTATTCATTGTTTTTATTTTTACCACCAAAAACATATAATGTTGTATCAACTACTGTTGCAGTATGACCAAACCTTCCAATGCTACCATTGCTGCTGCTACTATTAACAGTGGAAACTTCTCCATCAATATTAAAGTTACAAATAATTTGTTTAAGCCAATGTTTTGAAACTGTAAAAAATTGTTTTTATTATTAATCGAAAATAACCATCACAAATAATTTAATTTAAATCAATCGATCAAATTAAATTAATCACCAATATCAAATATATAAATATGTTCATCCAAGTTGTTTTCTTTTGGATCGTCAACAATTCCACCAAACACTAAAACATTAATAATATTAATATTAATGATTAATGATATTAATAATTCAAATTAATTATTCGAACCTACCTATCATATGTGTTGCAAAACTTATTTGAGAATGTAAGCTTCTTGGTTTAGGAATATCTCCATATGCTAAGATTGGAAGAACATTAAAACCATCTAAAAAATAAATTTTAAATTTAAAAATTAAAAACAATCCAACCAATTAATTAATTGATCAATTAACCGATCAAACATTAATTAAACAATTAAATAATCAAATAATCAAGCAGTAGACCGATCAATTATATAATCAACAACTTACTTGCTTCAACCACATAAACTTCATTGGTTGTTTTTTCTCCTACAATTCCTCCAAATATTATAATTGAGTCATTATGATCAAATTCACTCGCAGAGTGATTATATCTTGGAAAAGGATTAAAAGTATGCAATTTCTTTTGGGACCAAGGGAAATTAGAGGAATGTTGTTTAGACTGTTGTAGTGAAAAGGATTTGTAATTTGATGAATTCGGCATACTTTTTGAAAGCATTTTTGAAGTTTTTTTGAAAGGTTTTTTTTAAAAATAAAATTGTATATATTCTATTTTACAAATTTTATATATAAGTCAGTATTATTTTTTATCTTAATTTAAGTAATCTATATATTAAATATTTATATATATATATATTATCTATAAATTTTCTTCATTAAAGGAAGAGGAAAAGAAATTATTTAGTAATAATTTTATTATCTTTTGCATTTATGTTCAAAACCATTGAACCAGCGTCCCAGCGTGGTAAGTTAATAATTAAACAAGTATTTTAAAAGATTTTGAAAAAGAACAATGTTAAAATGAAGAATGTTACGTGTGACATTCTTATTCTTTATTTGACAATGTAGTAATAGGTGTTAGCTTCAGGGGTAAACGAAATACCCCAGTTATGAATCGGTAACAATTAATAATATAATAATGTAATAATAATAATAATTAAATAAATTAAATTAATACTTTTGACATTAAATTTTATTGGCACAATGATCATATTTTACATTAATTTTTTTTATGCAGAGGTACGTGTAAGGTATATTTTGTACTAATTAAATATTTAAAGATTTACAATATGAATTTTTAGGGGAGAAAATAACAATAAATGGTTCTTCTCTACAAAATTCAAATCAAAAATCAAATTCTAGTCATGGTAAAATATAGGATTTTTTTAAATTTAAATTTAAAAATATAGTCGAGACTCATTTCAACTAGCATTTAAAATCGCGTTTTCAATGAATTTTCAAGAATTCGAAACGAGATTTGCCGAAATAAGGATTTTTATTGTACTAATTTGTTTAATGATTCGAATGATTTAAATAAAAATGATAAGAAAAACACACCATACTAATAATATTAATATGGTTAGAATAAATACAAAAAACATGCTAATTAATACATTTTTATTTTTATTCAGGAAATAATACAATATTGTTATTTGGTGGAACAAACCCGTATTCGTAATACAAGGTATTTCAGGGTTCCAACTTTAGTCATCACGAGCGTGATCATTAATATTCTCGACTTTAAATACAAGTGCTTTCTACTTGTACATGTAAAGTTATGCCTCTACGAAAACATAATGATTGTCATATTGCACCATAATTTGTCATTCTTTGATTGGATGGGTCAAGAATGAGTTCATTTGTACCGTGCGGGACAGCTGGACAACGAGATACTTCCTATAGAATTCGTGATGAGAATATCAATGTCACGACGTTTGATGTTCTTGATTACAAGTGACAGACATTTCTCGTAATTATTTATTAATAATGATCACACAAAACAAATATACCAATCATTTGTTTATGACAACACATACAATGTAAAAGACACTCCACATTTCAGTTTCACTTCACTATAAAACATCAAATCTCTGACTATCTTCTTCGGAACACTACCAAATAGTATTTCTATGTTATCAATGAATGCGTTCCGAAAAATTTGGAATTTTCCTTGTACTACAATATTAATGTATGTTTCTTCGTGTTAAAAAATGTCGGACCGAACCACAAAAAAAAAGAAACACGTTCATGGGTCAATACACGATAAGTTAGTATTACCGGAGAACCCCAAGCAATGTTAGAAACCATTAGTTCAAGCTCTGGTTATCTGTTTACGATGATCTTAGAAACCATTTAGACATTATTTTTATTTGCTTAGAGCGGGCAATTCTAAAGAAACGATTTAAAAGATATTTTAATTAAAGATCTGGAATGTACTTCTAATGAAGATGTTGATATTGTTGCAGTTTCTTCGATTAATAATGATAAAAATTCTTCTATTGATGACAATGAAGATGAAGGTGAAGATAAAGAAGAAGAAGAAGAAGAAGAAGATGGTGATGGTAATATTGCAAGTCATGTTTCTTCAAATTATGGATTTCTAATAAACTTCATCATCCCCACAGACCTCATGCCATACATATATGATGAATGGCAATTTGACCTTCGGAAGTAGTGAAGTCAACTCTAGGGCATATTTGACAAGAAGCGGTCCTCTGGATTGACCACACTACTCTGATGGGTATTGATTTTTTTAATTATTAAATTTGTCACGACCTTTATATTGTGTAACTATATAATTTGAAAGTCATAACCTAAATTAGCATTTGGCTAAACTATACTATTTAGCCAAGTCAGGTTTAGTCAAGTTTAGTCAAGACAATTATTACCAAATTAGGATTTTAACCACTACCTGGGTTTTCAATAGACGAAAATTTACATAATAATAATAATAATCGCGCGTAATTATATGTAAAATAGGAAAAAATTATAAGGATTAATTTCCCTAGACTTTTTACAATCAGACCTTACTATTAGTGTAAAATCAAGCATAGATCATTATTTAAACATATGTCATCTGATACCTATGGAGTTTTACCAAGAGGTATTTCTCTATAATGTTATATACAAAAACATTTAATCATATGATTTACTTAAACATTAATAATAATTCGTTACACATAATAAATATTGATTTATTACAAACATATATAGTTCACTCCTTTTATAATGGGCCACTTGGCTTACTATTACCATTACAAAAAATGTCTGTTATAGAGAGAATCAGCTATAGACAGTAATAATAATGGTTTACATATTAATATAGGACTGCTTTAATTCTCAGTCCATTATAGAAAGATCTGTTATTATTATTATTATAGAAATATTATAGAAAGTAGACTTGCCTTTCGAAACTATGGATTTAGAATTATTTGAAATCAAAATCTGGTTTAGAAAATGGGCCCAAATTCCTAAATTATTTCAAAACTCCTAATGGCCTTTCACATTATTAGTTGCTGGCCAGACCAATTCCAGGAAAACCACCAAAGTTGTTAATCTTTTACTTGGAAACAAGCTATACCAGATGTTTAAAAATATTGTGATGATGTTATATTAATTGGACATTATCTCAAGGAACCAAATATATGTACCTCAAATCAGCATATCAGATAATTGCAAATAGCCCAAAACCACACTATGAGGATATTACATTTCAGGCAGTGAAAGCTGATAAAATTCAAAGTTATCCTAGCACTGAACCAAAAAAAGTTCAAGAAAAGATCATTCGATATTTCACTGAAGATTACCATTCTAATATAAGTTCAATATATGTTTTACAAAGTTATTTCAAACTAAAGGAAAAAATTTAAAAATATGTCATATTATTTAATGGATCCTGCAATTCGGATGAGCTGTGCAGAAGAATCTGTTTATATGCCAATGATTGACATAGTGTCAAAGTTATTGATAGGCATTTGTGTAATTAGAATTTTATTGTTTTTGATTTAAGCATACAAGAGAACATCCGCATAGAATTAGGCTTTCTAAATGAGATTTCAGAGACACAAGAGTTTTTTCCACATTCTGTAATTGCAACTTTTTTTCCTCAACTTCATATTGCAATTTTTTATTTACTTCAACCCACTCTTCATACTCACTGTCCAATTTCTGCATGAATTTTCCAAATGTCCCTTGATTATATTGAGTAATTGCTGATATAAAATTTCAACTTCTTTCCTAATTTGACAATTAATCACTTCCTCATGACCACCAGTGTTGTGACCCGAAACTCTGAGTTTAGGGAAAACCAGAAACAGAAACTAACAGAAACCACCCGAAACTAGTTTAGGTTAGTAGTTTATGTTTATGTTTATGTTTATGTTTATGTTTATGTTTATGTTTATGTTTAGTTTTCTGCTTAGTGTAAGTTCATTTTCCAAAACATTTCGGGAAGCCAAAAGAGTTTCTGGTCACAACACTGATGACCACACATATAATGTTTATTTTAGTAGAAATGGCACTTTGTGCCTGGATCTAAGTTCCCTTAATTTTCATATCTATGTATTGCAAGAATAATGAATCTTTAGTTTTATATATGCATGATAATTTCAAGTGAGTGGGTTTTCTGATGCTGGTACTTTATTTTTTTTTTTTTGATATCTATCAACCTCATGCCTTAAAAATGACTCAAAATGGAGTTAATACTACTGGCTTTCTCTTCTGTCATTGAGTTGTGTTTCTGTGATATAATACTTCATGTACTAATGATGGGAATATTTTTTCAACCAAATCTGGATATACTTTTTAAATTTGCTTGCATGACAAGACTATTTACATAACTGATATAGTGCCAAAGATACTTTGATTTAGTATTTTACTATGTAGGAAAAATTGGACAATAAAAAAAATTCCAGAATTTTCAGAACAAAAAATAGATCTATACACTATTAACCTGCCTCATTTCTTCTCAAATATCCATAAGAATTTGTAATGTTCAACTAATTTTGTAGCACAGAGACTGGCTTATAATAATATTCAATGAATTTTCTTTGTATGATCATTGCAGCTTGAATCTTTTCTTGTAACATCCTTCCTTACATGTTCAAGTTTTCTGGTTGCATTTTCCTTCCATAATTCATAACAATTAATTGCTAACTTTGCAAAGATATCAATATCATCTTTTTGTTTAAGATACTTACAGTCTTTGAAGCTAAGCTCAGAAAACTTATTTCCTGTGCAAGTTGTATGCTGATGCTCCGATTTTATAATTGCCAAAGTATTCCTTTTATCAACATGGATAAGTGATTGCAAGAATAATTAACATATTGCGATGTTACATCTAGAGAATAACCAAGATCATCCTCCCATGAACATTTCATCTTATAAGTGACCATATATCTTTTTAAGTAATCGGTCAGACAATTATTGTTGTGGTAATTCATTAACTGATTCTAAATCTACTCCTTTCCAATCAGATGAAGTCTCTTTGTCACGAATTATACCATTTAAAACTGGACAGATGTCTGTATAAACAATATTTAATGATTATGTAACTTATAGTGTTTTTAGAGATCGTGTAATTCATAGTGTTTAGGGTTTATAATAAGAGTCATAACAGTGTTTGTTTAAGTATATGTTATTTAAAAATTTTGTGTAAATTCTGTTTGAATCATTTTGATATAAAGCAAGGAGATAATCGTGATAATAGTAATACTGTATATTGGAAAAAATCAATATGATTACAACCAAATTATTTCATTTATGAATTATATATATAGCAAATAAAAGTCTTTATGTATGTTGTGCACGAAAATGAAATCTATGTGAATTAGCCAATCAGAATTTCATATCCAAACACTCCACCTCAAAATTTTAATTATAAAATATAGTTGGCTCAGTCTAAAGACCTACTAAATTTTGGGCAAATTTTAAAAGTATAGAAGTCATTTTCTGTCCTATCTTTTAAAAAAATAGTTCTATTAGTTGA